TTTCTGTTCAATATGGCGTCTATTTGAAAGTTTGATCTTCACTAACACTTTAACCTTTCTTTTCCACCGAATAATAAAAAGTATTCTAACATAAAATACGTCCAGGCTCTGAGCAAGGGTCGCCGAAACGTCAGCCATCGATCAATAACATCAAAAACAACGACAACGAAGATCTGTACCAACCTCGCGTCACCTTAAGAAGATCAGTTTATAAGATCATATAAATAAATACAATAACTATTCAACTAGCAACGACTATAATAGTTTTCCTTTCAATTAGAAGGTTGAAATGGACTCAAAATCGCTTGTCTAAAATCGATAGAGTTCAACGAATTTAGTTCACGTATGCATTGAAATCAATGCATCTATTCTTGGTTATGTTCATTGGATATTAAGATAATAATGAGGTGTCGTTTAGCGGATGAGTGTTACGTGCTGTTCTATTCGAAAACCTATCTATGGTCGTTCTCACCGAACTATTGCGGATTCGTCCTAGGAAAAGTGCTGGATTTCGGTACCGGTGTCACCGTTTTTGCTGTTATCATCATCTTCGACTTAATCACTATATGTCGTATCAAGCAGATCTTGGTAATAATTTTTCGACTGTTTCTTCCTTGTTGTTTGTAAAGTTGAAAGAATTATCGGTACTGTAGAAGAAAGCCTATTTCAGGCAATGAGACGAAAACTACGTCTACGAGAACTGAAATTCTTCGCACAATCATGTTTGCAGTTCGGTTTGTTCGTCATAAAACTGACCAACTTCTATTTCATATCCGAATATTTCGCCACTGACCCCGTCACATATCACTGGCCATTATTCTTCACAACTACATTCGCTTGGGAATGCACCCACTGTGTTGACGGGTACGGCTAAGAGACTCATTTTTTCTTTGCTGCCGCCCTGTCCTTATTGCGTGGGTGTGTATAAAGCAGTGTTCAGAAGTGTCCATCCATACACACGCCGTCAATGGCCCATCTCTGCGCTATTAGCTGAGAATTGTATATAATGCAGGACTAAATGCATTGTCGCACGGCTATCTCAGCACTACAAGGAAAATTTTGCTCAACTATGAAGAAACCCCCGTTTCAGTATGTCGAAAACTGCTTGTTACCACCTTCGACGTTATGTACAACCCGCGAAAGGCGACTGAGTACCATTTCCCAACATAATGAAAACTCTTACCTTTTCTACTTAGAACGTCAAAATAGTCTATTTGTTTGATGGCTTTCCACTCTACATAGTGATATTCTGCTGTCAACCCGACAAAAGGCCACTCCTACTTAAGGAATTCTATCAAGCAGAGTCAAAAAATATTCAATGAGGTTTGTGGACCTGTTGGCTGTAAGCCGCTCCCTACAGAAAATCTGAGTTCTCGTTGGAAAAAATGTATTGTGCACGTGAACACTCCAGTGATAGCATCAACGCAGTGATCGATTACGTAACAGCTTTTGTGGTAAGCCTGTTAGCTGCCTCCTCTTCTTACGAAGAGGATTTCGGCGAGCAGGAGAAAATACTGCTCATAAACCTTGAGGAGAGTACGTAGAACTCAGAGGTCCATACTCAGGTATTTTGTTAAATAACCCACTTCCGTAATGATAAAAAATCGGCAGTAAATGAGGCTATGAACTACAGGGTGTACACGGAAAGATGCAAGCGTCCTCTAGTGATGATACATAATATATTTGGGTTTCTATCTCATACCACCCAACCATAATCACTGCCAAATTTAACTATCCAAAGCAGGAAAGCATCAACGATCTGTGTAGTGTAGCAATCGGTTGAAGAAGTTGTGGAATTCTAGTTCTACGGGAAACTGTTCAACACCACAGACACAAATTTAATTCCATCGTCTATATTTCAGACTTATCCTTATTTTGTTCCAATACGGTGACTGCCGAGATAGGGGAAGCAAGGGTGTTTCATCCACTAGACAGCCAGGCTTGAATGAATTGTAGGTGTTGCACTTGCGAGACACTCACTTAAATACACTTAAGTTCAATATTTCAGCAAGTCTCGAGTTCATACCATTCCGCCTGTGGCGGCCACAAAAAATGCTTTCGGCTGAAATTACAACGAATTCACTTTCCGTGCAAAGCCGGACAATGTGCAATACTTCCGTAGATATTTAAAGTAATCGCTTTGGACGTTTATTTCGAATTCAACCTTTTCCTCCTATGACTTCTGAGGAGCTCTCAGCTCTAGAAAACGTCAAAGATCGCGATCAATTAGAGCCACATCCCTGCTCTCCTTACTCTGTGTATATGTCAAGCTGAGATTTGTTGTCAGTTCCCGAATGAGTCTATAGAACTGATCTTAGGGCAAAATCAGTTGTATTGTACTCCATTAAACCTTCACATTGTGTATTGTACACTTTTACATGATGTGTGTGATGCTAACACGCTCATAGCACGTACGTCAAATTTATTCCAATTTAAAGGTTCTGGCACTGGGTGGCATTACATTTACGTCATTTTCTTACAATTTTTAATAATATGTTTTACGTGGCCCGACATTACACATTATGCTGATCGAAACATATCATTGCATTCAATTTGCTCTCGCGCAAGCAACGCCCATAAAGGTTTTCAGACCTTGCATAAGAGTCCCTATCCTGCCTAAGGATTTCTGATCATTCTTAAATCTTATCAAGTGCTGGTTTTATCAGTTATACGTTCCTATAAACTAATCTTGTTGAGTTGATGTGAGGTTGGTATAGTTGCCTTTGTTGTTGTTGTTGGTCGATGGCTGACATCTCGGTGGATTTCGTCCTCCCCAGATCCTGCAAAGGTCAAGTTGACTGCATTCTCCTTTATAACCAAATAGAGAAAATACTAGAACAAGGCTAGATAAACCTTCCATTCCTTACAGATCTGCAAATTGGAGCCGGAAAATTTGGATCCAACCTGTCATCTGTCACCTGTAGCCCTGTTAACCGTCGAGTCACTTGAATGGGCGTTAGTAAATCTTCCATTTTCCCTGTTGCATAGAAGAGTAGCTTGAAGGGTTCTGCTGGCGGCATGGACTCGTAGAGAATCATAACTTTTTCCCTGGGTATTGATGGAGAACTCTGGCCATCAGGCGCGTGGTCTTCTTAAAGTGCGTTAGACATCCTGAGCAATCTAGCCACTAACGGCTCCTGCAAATCGTTTATCGTCCATACGAGTTAATAGTCCCGTCCAGCGTATCTTCGACGGTCTTGCATATAGAACGACGTCTCTCGTTTGCCGATCGTTAACGTATGTCGGGGCTTCAGATTCCTTCCCTAACTTGCGTGATACGGTCCTTTCGACCGCACGTTCTATATTATTGAGAGAGCTTTCATCTTGCCTTCGTAGCAGCCAGTTTCTGACACATACGTTAAGGCAGGAGGAATAGCAGAGCTATAGTTGTATAGAGTTGTTTGCAGTTTGTTATAGATGTATAGTTGACCTTAGGAGAAATACAAATTGTGTCTACGAAGCATTGGCATTAAGAAAGTGCTAGAAATTGAGTGCAATGAATAACACATTGCTCAGAGATTGTTCAACGTCAACTGCTTTATCCTTTACCTTGTTTTATCGAAGATCTCTTAGTCAACCTTCTTTTTTCCTTTCAGCTTAAGGTTCCTATACAAATGCTATTACGTTTACGGCAACGAATCATTAAGCAAGCTAAAGTATATTTTTTTGATTGAGTACCGAAACAGCTAAATATCGAGGAATAAAACAACTCCGAATCGAACCTGGGTTCGAGAAAGAATTCAGCTGCTCAGAAGACGTGCCAGTGCCCTTTAGTTAGATCGTCTAGAAATCGTTTTTCGTTGTACTCCGTCGGCTACGAGATGGCATTCGGCCGCTTGAGAAATGCACTGCAAACCAGTCAGTCAAAGACCTTCGTCATGAGCACTCCAATCAGCGACGTCTGTGGAGTTTTCCTATCGATTTGCTACCGTCCGAATCGGAAAGTGTTTCGTTACACAAAATGTGAAGTTTCATTGACGATTCTTTATATTTTTGTTTAGCGAACACGAGGCGTAATTTTATTTCTTTATTTACTCGCAAGCTGACGTTTCGGTGGATTTCGCCTTCCTCAGAGCCTGGAAAGGTCATGGTGATCGCAATCAACGATCGTTTTATCAAAGATGTTTTCGAGTGTTATGCTACAAGAACGATAATGGAGTTTTTCAGACGATTATGGAGTGTTTTCAAAGCACACGAAATTCTAAGGGTGACAAAAACTGCGGAAATCGTTTTTATTGATTCTCAACGTCGCCTTGGACTCGGAGTGTCCAGCTTCTTCTTACTATCGAGCTGAAAACCGCCTACAAAGTCGAGTAGATCCGTCGCTTAGTGGTAACTTGCAGTCCTCTAACTTATAGCATCATCTTCTCATCAGACATCATCTGGAAAACGTAGCCTCCTTGAATTTACAGGAAGGGCCTAAATGCTGAAGTGGATAACACGTGAGCCCACTAAAAGTGCAAACGCGCGTGGAACGCGTACCTAAGGTTGCGAGTTCTGCTCATATCTCAACATCATTGTCGTTGTTTTTTCCAATCACGGTCTCATTTGTCCTGCAGGAATTGTAGAAGATTCCTACCTGATGTGTACGATGCGAACATTTACCGTTTAAGCCCAGTATCAAGAATCAGGGAGAAAGGACCTAAGTAGCAGAGCCGAGTAGAAGAATCACCCACGCGAATCCTCCCCACATGCGTTTCTTATTCTGCTTTGGTCTTCATCACATCTGCTGTGCCAATCCCAGCATTCCTTGTATTTGATTCGTTTTGTTCGCATTCATCACATAACAAAGTCTTCGGACATTTCCGGTGTTGATTTGACCGCTGCTTAAGGATTTCGTCTTCCTTATGTCGTAGAATCCCGGTCGAGACGATTCTCCTCGCAATCTTGGCCATAGCCGACCTAAGGCCTTCCCATGTGGACTGGAAGAGAGCGTTGGGGAGAACGCGAACCTGCGCCTTTACTTACTGATTGACGTGGCCAATTCGCATATCTTTCAACCTAATGTGTATATGTATTCTTTCTTTGATGAGCTTACACGAGGTTGATAATGATATTCTATATATATATGTATATATATATATATATATAATATCTATATTATATTATATTTATACTGTTTTATTTTATTATATTATATTTATCTATATTTATATTATATCTAATATATATATATGTAGAATTCCAAATACTGTAGACATTCCTGCTCTTGCGCTGAGGCTTGTAGCCTTCCTGGAGTTGTGCTGACAGAGTAGTATTGTTGTTGAATTATGCACCTGAGCTCAGCTCATTGATGTTTCATTGTCACAGTGATGACGGTCTTCATCCTTTAGAGCGTGGAGGTGATACCTATCACAAAATCACAAACAAATACGCAGGAAGCCTGTCCATAAATAACAGAAACAGCTTCTTTCGATTTTTTCCTATTTACAATCACTTTTTGAGCTGTAATCATTTTCAACAAAACTAGTTTGTCTTGTGGGTTTCATGTGACCTAAGAACACTTCTTCCCTCGTTGATATGTTTAGTGTTGACCAACTGAAAGCGATGTAGCCGGACTGGACGCTTTGCATGACCATCTCGTGAAATTTTGTCTTTAGGAATAGCTGATGAGCTTCACCGCTCTCTGACCATTGAGCCACAGGCTGTCGTGGAGGATCCATTTCACATTGTTCGTCAAACCTTGCGACAGCCATTTGTCGAACCTCTTCGACTTTTCAGCTATCTTCAATTGCCGCCACAGAATTAACGTGCCTCAGTCGAGTTTTCCTGCATACTCTCAAACAGCTGTGCATGTATTTGCCTTGCAAAAGCCTTCAGTACCTAGCAGAAAGCGTTCACGACCTCCTTCATCTTCAATATTAGCACTTAACATCAAAGTTCGTTGACATTTTGAGTCGTTTACGTTGTGCACATTGGAATTTGAATTCTTAGAAATGAAATGGCCGGAGTTGTTTCCTGACATTTGAACTTTTAGCCTTCCAACCCTTTTAAGGACAGAATTAATGTTGTGATTCAATTATACGGAGCACGAACGTATAAAATTAGCTCCGCAATTATATATAATTGTGAAGTGTTTAAAAAACTGTTGCTAAAAGACAGAAGAGGAACGGAGTTACGAAACCGACATTTATTTCTAGACGGCCTAATAAATCGTTGTGGTGCCTGGTTCTTCGTTTTTTTACAACCAGTTGATTTCTACATTATCTGTAATCATTCCGCATACATCATGCCGATCGCAATTTGTAGAAACTCGGCTCGACCAAAAGTCTGAGGAAACCGAGATTTCAAGCAAACTCTTAGGATGCATTCTTTCATTGGAATGTTTATACGAAGATGAACAACTTTGGTACTGGTCAACGTTTCGACGTTTTCGTCTTCCTCAGATTCGATGACCCGAGTCAATGTCCACAGTCCCTCGTACTCTCGATGTGGTGTTTTCGTCTTCGCATCGAGTCAGACCTTTTCCAGTGGAACATCGATCCAGTGAGGCAATCGTAGCAGGCGATGCTGTTTTAGGCAGGGCAGTTGTTATTGGTAATAGTGATTGTCCGGTGATAGCAACTTGGTTTTCTGAAAATCCATCCTACAGAAGTCGGTATCGTTACCAGCTAGAATAGAGCACGACAATATTTCAAAGTCGGCTTTCCTTTAAACTCGGTGTAAGTGATAAACCTAAAAATAGAAATCGAGTGACCTGTTTACCTAAAAATAGTCTTAAGAGCTTCCTTTTGCGTTAGATAGAAAGCTAAACAAATAGGGGCGCTGACTAGTGCCTTAGGGAAGTGCCAAGCATTTATTAGCTACATTAACCACAGTAAAGCCGATCGTATGCATAAGTGACCTATTAAGAGAAGATAATTCAGTGCTTCTGTTTCCTTCTCAAATAAATCTTGAAGCAATTTGCTCAACCCAAAGACATCGCAAAAGTGGTTCGCTTCGTGTTCGACATCAAACAAATTACCATGTGTATTTTAACTTTTTATTTACTGCCTTTCTCCCAACGGTTAACCGCTTCATCGTTGCTGGGAGGTGTTCCTGGGTGTCGGACTGCGATGCACAGTGGGGGATTCGTTACCCCGGCAAGGTCTCCCAAGCTGAGAAGCAGTCCAGCGTTTCCATCAGGAAAGCTAGCTAAGAGTAAACCAATACCAAGATCCACCACCATTTCGGTATCAAAGTCTTATGGTGGCAAATCTACCTGTGATCCACAAAGGCTGCGACTGCCTGCGATGGTGAAAACCTGGGGCAGACTTTGGCCAGGCTATCCTCGGGATTCTAGGGAACCACAATGGCTTATAAATGAGTCGTTTTCTTGTTCAGCAATCGCGAGGTTTTTAAACAGCATACATTTACTTCCATAGAGAAACACAATACGATACAACACCAGCTGACGTTTCGACAGTATCGCCTTCTTCAGGCAGTATCGACCATAGTTTTTCGTCTTTTTGTAAGTGGTATTGAAGCGTTTGGCCTAGAAGATTGTATATCAATATACCCTTCCAGGCTCTAAAGAAGGGGATACTGCCGAAACGTCAGCTGGTGTTCTATTGTATTGCGTTTCTCTTTGGAAGTAAATGTATGCTGTTTAAAAACCTCGCGATTGCTGGGCAATAAAACGGCGCATTCATATTCCAATGCCGAGGTTAATAGAAAGTCGATCCTGGAAACTATCACAATGGCTTAACCAGCATTTTTCCGAAAAATGGAGATTATGCTGGGGCTCGGCCAACTAGTGATGACGGGGTGTTCATGTATCAAGTATCAAGTATTTACTGCCTTCTACATTCTTTCACGTTAGTATATTATGTGTGATACAACTGCAGTGGTGCTGAGATATTTGCAAAATTCCGGACCACGGGTCTCTGCTGTGTGAATCGAAACCGCTATTATCCTTTCCGGGAGCTAACACGTTTACCACTACACAATGAGGGCCTTTCATTCCGCCTGTTTCTCAGCTAGTTTTTCAATCGATCAGTGCCATCAGCAATCACTCGTCAACGAGATTGATCCAAAGAGCTCAAATCGACATTGAATCCGGTTAAGCCGAGGCAAATATTTCAGCATGATTGTGGTTGGGTGAAACATTATTTCCTACCGTGAAAGAATGTAAAAGGCAGTAAACAAAAACCTAAAGTTGTGATTTTCAACTACAACCTCAGCTTAACTGGATTTAGTGCCGATTTGAGCTCTCCAAACCAATCCCGTTGACAGGTGATTGCTGATGGCACTAATCGATAGAAAATTATCTGAGAGACTTGTGACAAGAAAAACCTGCATGGTGTGGTGGTGAAAGCGTTAGGTTCCTGAAAGGGTAATAGCATGTTCGTTCCCCACTGCAGACACCTGTGATCCGGATTTTTGCAAATATCTCAGCACAGAAGTTCGTAGTTTGGCCGCAAGTGTACCGAATTCAACCACTGCGCTATCATTGCCATATCTGGCTCAAGTCACAACGGAATAAATAAGGGACTAGGTTTTATTGTTACTCATTTAAGTAACTTATGCCAGATTTATTTAATTTACCTGCATTACATCTTTCTCGTTGGTCAATCAAAAGGACCCCAGTAAACTTTCTATTCTCCTTGTCGAGTTCAAAAGTGGCCCAGTAGGTTCTTCTCACTTTGGAAACTTGTTGACCAGTAGTTTTTGTGCAAAACGTTTGAAATTTCGAGAAATCGTATCACTAGAGGTTCTTTTCCAATGGTTGTCGTTCACATGCATTACGTGTCCGGCCCACCTTATCTTTGACGGTTTGGAGTATAAAACGGCGCATTTGGTTTTTGATCGTTGACGCAGATCGAAGCTTCGGGTCTGTCTCCTCACTTGCATGATTTTCTCCCGTTTATGTATTGTGGATCTTCGGATTTATTCTCTCACTAGCTAGATATGGGATACTCTTAGCATTGTCCTTTCGAATGCGCGTAAAATAACGCTAAGTGATCTGTTGCCCTGCTTACGCCACCACCGGGTTTCCGACACATACGTTAAGGTAAGGAATCGTGAAGTCGAAAAGGTGGGAGCGGAGTCGACTTGTCTTCGTCGTCTCAACATCCTCGATGCTCCTAATAGTTTACAAGCAGCTCGCTTTAATCTATAATACTTCTATAAACAGTACCTAGGACCCACATGGTGTAGTGGTGAACGCGTTAGCACCGGAAAGGGTAATAGCGCCATTCCCCACGGCAGACACCTGCGATATGGAGTTTTGCAAATATCTCAGCATCGTTGTGGTTGTATCATACATAATATCCTGCCGTGAAAAAATGTAAATGGTAGTAATTAAGAAGTCAAAATTAGATGTAGTTGTTTAATCGACATATTTACAGCGACAAGTGGCAGATCGGATACTCCTAGTACCTTCAGTTACTGGGAATAAACGCCACAGTTTACCGCTTTATCGTGGCTGGGAATTGTTCTGGGTGTCAGGCTGCAATGTACAGCGCGAGAATTCATACCCCAAGTAGGGTCTCCCAGGCTTAGAAGGAGTCCGGCGGTTCCATCAGGAAGCCTAGCTAAGAGTAAACCAATACCAGGATCCGCCACCGTTCTGGTATCAAAGGCGCACGGTGGTGAATCTTTTTCTGATGCACACGGACTGCGACTGCCTGTGGCGGTGAAGACCTGTGGTAGACTTTGGCCAGACTGATCTCGGGATTCCAGGAAACCACAATGGCTTGACCAGCAACTCTCTGAAAAATGGAGATTTCGCTGGGGCCCGCGCAACCAGTGAGGGCGGGCCATTCAAATATCAAGTAAATGAGTAAGTAAGTAGTTTAAAGTTTGCAGGGGTGATGAGCCTCGTTCACATGTGGGTCGAAATGAACGCATTTGCTTCTGATTTTATTAGTTTTGGATTATTTAGCGGATGAGTGTTACGTGCTGTTCTATTCGAAAACCTATCTATGGTCGTTCTCACCGAACTACTGTGGCTTCATCTTAGGAAAAGTGCTCGGTTTCGGTAACAGTGTCACCGTTTTTGCTGTTATCATCATCTTCGACTTAATCACTATATGTCGTATCAAGCAGATCTTGGTAATAATTTTTCGACTGTTTCTTCCTTGTTGTTTGTAAAGTTGAAAGAATTATCGGTACTGTAGAAGAAAACGTATTTCAGGCAATGAGAAGGAAACTACGCCAGTGAAAACTGAGATTCTTCGCACAATCGTGTTTCCAACTCGATTTGTTCGTCATGAAACTGACCAACTTCTATTTCATATCCGAATATTTCGCCACTGACCCCGTCACATATCACCGGCCATTATTCTTCACAATTACATTCGCTTGGGAATGCACCCACTATGTTGACGGGTACGACTATGAGACTCATTTTTTCTAAAGTCTATAAACTATCATCGTCCAATAATATCTTAAAAGCAACTGATAAATCAGTTTTTCTGGCGCCCATCCTTATTGCGGGACGTTTAGAGCAGTGGTCTGACGTTCTTTTAAATGTTTATAGAAATGTAAAAGACGTGTAAACGATGTAATATGCACAACACATTAAGCAGCAAACAAAAGTCCC